TTCATTTTCATTTTGAATATTTAAAGTCAATCTGTTTAAAATAGACCAGAACGGCCCATTTCTCCTCTCGTTCCTTCTCAGACGATGTGCGTAAAGCGCTAGCAGCTGAAGTACCTGGCATATCTTCTTCAGCAAATCCTTTACACACGGTGTGCTTTTTTCTAGTACTTTATTAAAAAGTGAAGTAATTTACAGCAGCTTTGGTTCGGGGACTAGTTTTTCCATTCATTTTCTCCATAGGAATCCATCATTAAAGATTTCTAAACCAAACAATCCAGGCTTTGATTTGAACCAAACGTATAACTTTGAAACTAACTATCTCATGATGCATAGCAAAATTATGTAATCGGATCAAAAACTATCATGCAATATAAACATATTGACTTGAACTATCCCCTTCCTAATGCACATTAGAATACCTGGCTGGATGTGTTTTTGTGCATTAGATGCCGTGACTCCTCGAGAAGATGAGCAGTGTCAGTCAAAGCAGATCAAATCAGCTCGGACGTCAAAATGCCGGAGTTCAAACCCACTGACATAACCTTTCAATCAGTGGTCCGGCGCATCAATCACATCTTTCCACCACAACCATCCATCACACAGCACTTCTGTCACATGGAGGCATTTTAACCAGAGATCCAGAGGTCTGTCAATGTACAATACGACCGTATGTCACACACATGTCCCTTCAATCACAGGTAAGGATGTTCATGTCCTTCAGGATAATTACAAAGCAGCACTGATGCAGAACTAAAGCCTAAAGTTACCCAAAGCTTTGCCTCTGTTCTTCTGCTGCCTTGCGAGTGCTGTTATTTCCTTCTGGAAATGCAAATCTCTTTTGAATATGATGGTGCCGCCAGCTTTGTGTGTCTATTATCTGACACTGTCAGAAACCATATTGGTGAATCATTCAAACATTGCCTCTAAAACTATAGTAAGACATCTGTTGCGCAACACGTACAAGCATCATATTATTTTTGCATGCATCCGAGGAGTTTTGAAACTATGGGCAGAGCATTGCTCAAGCTTAAATATTTAAAGCGTTACTTTGGCTCTCACAACTCGAGAAAAGGAAGAGATGCATTTGGTTTAATTATTCACTGTTAGCTTTACTCAAAACAAACAAGAGTCAGAGTTTTCAAAAGGCAGACAATCCTGAGCTGCTTAAAAATGAAATATAGAGGAAAAATGAAATAAAAATATGGAATCATTTTAAACATTTTAAAGATTTTTTTTAAAGATTTTTGAAAGAAGTCTCTTCTGCTCACCAAGGATGCATTTATTTGATCAAAATTACAGAAAACAACAGTAATATTGTGAAATATTATTATAATTTAAAATAACTGTTTTGTGTTTTCTATGTGAATATATTGTCAAATATAATTTATTCCTGTGATCAAAGCTGAATTTTCAGCATCATTACTCCAGTCTTCAGTGTCACATGATCCTTCAGAAATCACTCTAATATGATGATTTGCGGCTCAAGAAACAGCCAAATATAACGACTAACATATAAGCAATATGATCCTTATAAGTAGACGAAGCATCCTTTAAGCAAACATAAGCAGAATGCAGAGTTCATAAACCATTTTTTTGGGGGGAAATGCAAACAAACAGAGACAAAAGATCAACATCCTCTATAGTGATTCCAGACTAATGTGATTAGCAGGCAGTGTGTGTGTGTGTGTGTGTGAGAGAGAGAGAGAGAGTGTGTGTGTGTGTGTGTTTTGTCCCTCTCTACCGGCTCATCAGTGGGTTAGCCAACATGAAGCATCTACAGTGTGTGAATAATATGCAAACAAATGCGACTTGGCTTCAACAGCACGCTAAAGGCCATGCATATCAGCAAAGCCACTGGAGAGAGAAAGACAGGAAGAAAGAGAGGCAGAAAATGACAAAGGCGGTAAGTGAAAATGAATATGCCCGGGGCTTGTCCGTGATTACTTTTTTTATGATTATTGCTGAATTCTCTTTGCCGGAGTGGTAAGACGGCGCTGGAGCTTATTAGATCAGTTGTTCACACATCTACGGGGCGAGTTTGCTGGAAAGCGACTACATGTGGTTAAATTATCTCTGTCTGCTGCGTGACAATTAGCCCCATTACCTTCAGCCACACGTTAGCTGCGCGCTTAAAGCTTTCTGGCTGGAGCAGTACAGAAGCTCTTCATGTCAGATCAAGGGGACCAGAGGAGTTTAATATGAGCCATGAGCCAGGCTTCGTAATCACACAATACAACACTCGAGATCCCAGTGCTGTTAATGAACACACACACACAACCAATTAAAAGTTTGCACACACTTGTCTAGTTAAATGTTTGAAATTAGATTAGCATGTATTTTTACACTGTATTTTTGATCAGATAAATTCAGCCTTGGTGAGCAGAAGAGACTTCTTTCTAAAGAATTTTTTTTATGTGAATTATTACAAACTTTTCACAGGTACACTCACACACACACAGACATTCTCTCTCTCTCTCTCTCACACACACACACACACACACACTCACATGCAGATACACACACTCACACACACACGCACAGTCACACACACACACACACACACACACACATTCTCTCACACTCACACACACACAGTCTCACAGTCTCACACACACACACACACACACACACACACACACACACACACACACACACACACACACACACACACACACACACACAGACATTCTCTCTCTCTCTCTCTCTCTCTCTCTCTCTCTCTCTTCTCTCTCTCTCTCTCTCTCTCTCACACACACACACACTCACATGCAGATACACACACTCACACACACACAAATTCTCTCACACTCACACACACACAGTCACACACACACACACACAATGTATACATTTCATAACATATAAAATATATAAAATAATAAATTAACCATTATTTTGCTAACAAGCAAGGTAACTCCATAATTATTGATTTTATATTGTTTGACACAGCTTCAAAATATATTAGCATATTTGTATGTGCAATAAATTAATATTTATATAAACTCTTTGTAACTTATTATAAACTACTTTTTCAGGCCGAGTAACACTGACCTTATTCCTGAGGCTCTAACAATAAGCCCATTAGAGCCGTTCTGTAGGACCACACACACACAAGCAGGAACTAACAGGAAACGCTTGACTAAGCAGAGCCGTTATTTCATTACACTCGCTGCTGTTCAATGTATAAAACATGAAGTCCACACTTCTTTAATGTATAATTTGACTGAAAGGTGGAGAACCCCACAGGGAATGAAGGACTCTCTCTCTCTCTCTCTCTCTCTCTCTCTCTCTCTCTCTCTCTCTCTCTCTCTCTCTCTCTCTCTCTCTCTCTCTCTCTCTCTCTCTCTCTCTCTCTCTCTCTCTCTCTCTCTCTCTCTCTCTCTCTCTCTCTCTCTCTCTCTCTCTCTCTCTCTCTCTCTCTCTCTCTCTCTCTCTCTCTCTCTCTCTCTCTCTCCTGCCACCGATGTGCTGAGGAAGCAGGAATTAATTTCAATCAGGAAGTTCACAGCCGTGCAGCGCTAGTGATTACATTATTGTAACCTGCATTTAAAATCTTTTATATCCGCAAACACACACACAAGAGCTTTGAGGCGCAGCTGACACAAAACACACTGCAAATAATACAAAATACAGTGCCAGTTCATGCACAGTAAGTGTCTAATGGCAATACCGTGGTGGTACTTTGACATGTGCATGTACATTTATATACTTACAAAAGTATGGTTCTACCATGGTACTTTTTGGTACAGTAGGCTATAGATGCCCACATTGCAAAAGCAAGAATTGACTATTAAAAAAAAAAAAAAACATTAACCATGTTTTTTTTTTTGGACACACACACTGTCAACTTTAAATGCTCAGCGAGATTCTGTTGAAAGTGTTGCTCTGCTGTGACAGTCATTGAGCTGAGAGAGAAAACGCCTCTTTATTGGGCCTCGTGCAACAACGCTGAGGATGCAAAACATACTTGCATTAATGCCAAACCGCATTATGAATTGTATTCTGAACCATGAAAAAAAGACATTGCTTGAAATAAAATAAACATGAACTCAAAATATATCATTTTCATATAGTTGAAGTTACTGAAGTGCTAAAATAACTAAAACTAAATAATCTACAATCTAAAACTTAATAAAAACTATATAGAAATATTGAAAAAACGAACTAAACAAAATTACTAAAACTTTAAATAAAATTAAAATAGAAAATCTGAAAATATTACCAGATACTATAACAGATACTATAACATTATATCAATGATACAAAAATAACACAGATCTGATCATACACACAATATTGAAATACCGGTATACACTAGCGGTCAAAAGTTTGAAACAAGTTTTTTTTTTATGCTTTTGATAGAAGAAACAGTTGTGCACTTCAAATCAAAAGTTTGGGGTAAGTAATATATTTTTTTCTTTGTTTTTAATAGAAATGAATACCTTTATTCAATAAGGATGCCTTAAATTGATCAAAAGTGACAGTAAATGTTATATAATGTTACAAAAGATTTTGAATGTTACAAAATATTTCTATTTTAAATAAATGTTGTTCTTTTGAACTTTCTATTCATCCAAAAAATCCAGAAAAATCACAGTTTCCACAACAAAAAAAAAACAGTTTTCAATATTGATAATAACAAGAACCATTATTAATAATTGAGCACTGAAAATGACTGATAATATTAAACACTAACTTATCATATTAGAGTGATTTCTGAAGGATCATGTGACTCTGAAGACTGGAGTAATGATGCTGAAAATTCAGCTTTGATCACAGGAATAAATTACACTTTACTATATATTCACATAGAAAACAGTTATTTTAAATTGTAATAATATTTAACAGTATTATGTATTTTTGATCAAATAAATGCAGCCTTGATGAGCAGAAAAGACTTCTTTCAAAAATCTTTAAATCTATAAAATGATTCCAAACTCAAATACCAGTATTAAAAAGCAAGAGTTCCACATATAAATCCAGTGTAAAGCGTTTCTTACCAATAGGAGAGAGTTCTGCCACACTTCCGACGTAGGGACCTTCCAGGAACTTGGGCTCGCTGTCGTTGATGTCCTGGACTTTGATGACGAACTCTGACTCGGGTTCAAGCGGCCCGTCAGTCAGACGGTCTCGTGCTTGAGCTCGCAGGGTGTAGAAGGTCTTCTCCTCGCGGTCTAATCTCTCCGTGGCGTGAATGTCACCGGTGACCTCGTCTATGATGAATATAGTGCCTGCTCCCTCTCCAGAGATGGTGTACTTAATAGAGCCGTCCCCTTCATCCGAGTCGGAATGGATCTGTCGATTAAAGCACAGAGGACACATCCTGAGTGTGGGTGAAGTGGCTGGAGTGCTGTTGTTCAAGGGAACTCTCTGAAACACGCATTTGAATTGGAATGGCGAGGAAAGACATTTACTGAATTACAATGCAAAGAAAGTAAACACTTGGGGGGGATTTCAGTAGTCAAACACAAGATGCAAAACATGATGCAAAATCATTGATATCTGACATATTTTGTGTATTTACTTCCTCTGTGGATGGATGGATGGGTGGATGAGTGGATGAGTGGATGGATGGATGGATGGATGGATGGATGGATGGGTGGGTGGATGAGTGGATTGGTGGATGGGTGGATGGATGGATGGATGGATGGATGGATGGATGGATGGATGGATGGATGGGTGGGTGGATGAGTGGATTGGTGGATGGGTGGATGGATGGATGGGTGGATGAGTGGATGGATGAGTGGATGGATGGATGGATGGATGGATGGATGGATGGATGGATGGATGGATGGATGGATGGATGGATGGATGGATGGATGAGTAATATTAGATAGATAGTTGGATGGATGGATGGATGGATGGATGGAAGGATAGATGGGTAATATTAGATAGATAGATAGATGGATAGATGGATGGAAGGATGAAATATATTAATATTATATATTAAATATATTAATATAATATTAAGATAGATAGACATATTTTTACTTTAAAAATAATAATGAATACAATCATAAAATTATTCTTTTTAATAAAATAGTAATAATAATGAAAGAATAAATTCTATGAAAACATTGAGCATAAGAAAATGTGCTCTTCCACCATAAAACTATAAGACATTGTTTAAATAAAAGCAATTGTTTTTTTTTATACTTTATTTTTATTCATTTGAATGAATATTGTAGTGTATAATAAAATATAATAATATTTTGCAATAATATTTTAATTAAATTAAAATGTAAATATAAAACATTTGTTTTTAGAAATAAAAATAAAAAATAAATGTATCTTAGAATATATTATTAAACATCCTCAGCTGTGATTGAGATTCTCATGTGCAGAAAGGCAAACAGTAAAACTATATAAAATGTCATGTTTACAAACACATTTACTGTTCGAAATAAAATAAAAAATGCTAAGCAAACGAGTGAATGAGTGAATGTTTGAGAACACATCATATCCATGTGTAAAGTACAGTGATTCATCTGTCTACGGTGTCTGATCTGCCTCGTGAGTTCATCCGTATGGCGAGTTGCCATGTCGAAAGGCAAAATTCCCAGTTTTCCATCCTCTCTTTCCACACTGACAGCTCCTCTAGCTGTAGCTGAAGCCTCTTGGCATCTCATTGAGTCATTACTATGGCAACAGATGTACGGAAGACAGACCGGATATTGACTACAAAGTCTGACCAAATGCATTTCATCATTTACAAAATAATCTGGGAAGAGCCAGTACTAAAAATGTTAAAAAGTCAAAAAACAAATACCCTTATTTACTTCCCTAATGCTTGTCCCTGCATGTCTTCCAGTGTGTTCCTGGTGATTCATCAGAGCACATCAGGGTTGTTCAGAACCCAGTGAGAACGCCATTCAATTCTAATTCAATGTCTACTCTATTTTTTTAACTATAAATGCAAAGTTTGTCAAGATAAACTTTGAACTTGTTTGAAAAGAGAGAGAGAAAGACAACACAACAGACAAACTCATGATGTCTGTACATCTCTGCATTTATTCCCTGTTAAAGATCCTATTTCACACTAAAATATCACATTACAGAAGTGAAATGGGTTGCGAACACCACTTTAACTGGCTAATTGTGTGGTTCAGTTTACGGTCTAATGCCATCTAAGTTTGTTTAAGCGTATTTCACCCAAGTAATGACTTTTGTTGGACTATAACAATCTTTTTCATTCATCTATGGATCAGATGGTAGTCAGTTCAATGTGACGCTTTTTAGAAACAGCCAGCCGGAGGCTCATTATGTTTAAAGGGAGATGTGTTTCTAAACCCAGGCCTGCAAGTGCAGTTTGGAGACATCATGGGGTCCAACACACAAGAAAGAAAGAAATCTCAAGAAATCACCTTTACATTTCATGAGATTCTTCGAGAGGTTTTAACTGGTCAGACCTGCTAAAGTAGATCAAACCAGCAACAAATCTTTTCTTTTTTTAGTGGAGATGATGATATTTCTACAGCCAAAAAGTAAGATGAACTTCAGATAGCGTGTAATGTAAATCAATGAGGTCCTAATAATAACAGTATAGGGTAACACTTTATTTTACAGTGTCCTTGTTACATGTTACATATACTTACCGTAGTAATAACAGTAAATAATGCATTATTACATGCAACTAACCCTCAACCAAATCCTACCCTAATCCTATAAGTACATAGTTGCTTAATACTCAGTACTTAAATATATATAATTACACTGTAACAATGACATCTTAAAATAAAGTGTAACCCAGTATAGCAAACTACTCACATAAAATGCATCTTAAGGGATAGTTCACTTTGGAATTAATTTTTGGGATGTTTTAGCTTACCTCAAGGGCATCCAAGTTGTAGGTGTCTTTGTTTCCACAGTAGTTTCAATTTTGATATTTTTAGGTCAAACCGTTCTTGTCTGTCAGTCATATAATGCAGGTCTATGGTCACCACCTCAAAGAGCATGCACAGAGAAGTCCAAATTAAACATGATTTAATGACTCGTAAATGTAAGTACACATTGATGGCCTAAGACACGAAACGAGCGGTTTGTGTGAGAAAACGAACAGTATTTATATCGTTTTTACTTCTTGTAAACACAGCCACGTCCAAGTGATCTGAGGGCGCGGGCGCTTCGGCCTTTTCCAGCAAGCGCCGGAAGTGATCTCTCGCACGTGTACGTCACTCATACAATTGTTTTATTTTTTTTAATTGTTTTCTTTTACGACGGTTTAAACATCCCGGATAAGCGCAAATTAGTACCATTTTAATTAGCCGTCTTACCTACCTCTGTTCTGTGTAAACAATGAGTGACGTACACGCGCGAGAGATCACTTCCGGCGCTTGCCGGAAAAGACCGAAGCGCCGGCGCCATCAGATCACTTGTTGGACGTGGCTATGTTTACAAGAGGTAAAAACTATATAAATACTGTTCATTTTCTCACACAAACCGCTCGTTTCGTGTCTTAGGCCATCAATGTGTACTTACATTTACGAGTCATTAAATCATGTTTAATTTGGACTTCTCTGTGCATGCTCTTTGAGGTGGTGACCATAGACCTGCATTATATGACTGACAGACAAGAACGGTTTGACCTAAAAATATCAAAATTGAAACTACTGCGGAAACAAAGACACCTACATCTTGGATGCCCTTGAGGTAAGTTAAAACGTACCAAAAATGTATTTCAAAGTGAACTATCCCTTTAATATCAGTCGTCACTCTATATCTGCCAGTAATGTCTTAAAACGAAATGCTTAGTTTTATGATCAAAGCTCTGTAGTTTTAAAACGTACAATGCAATGATGGTTGAGAGATGAACAAATAAACCTCCCTCAAAAGCCTGATGATCATATTTGATAAAAAATGATGTATGATTAATCAAGCTGAACCAAAGTTGCTTCAGTAAGTGTTCATCTTGAAATATTACCAACAATGTAGAAATTATTCTTACATTTACTTTATAAAAATCGGTAAAGATTTCACAGCAAAAAGACACGAGCTGAAGGTGGACGTTTTGACTAAAAGGCTTTTTAAAAGTATAATCTATAAATCAGATGACAGAAGGCATGTAGATTAAGCGGTGTTGTTTTTCAGTGAAGGTTTGAGGTGATCTATTGAGATGCAGGGGTATCTGCACTGCTGCAGTGTTGTAATGCTCCCTCGACTGGATCAGTGTGGGTTTTCTTTAGCTTCAGTCTCTGTTTCCCATTATAATGTGCCTCTGTACCCTGGCAAACTCTTCAAAACAGCAGTGGACAGAGCGAAATCACCCTCTCCATCATCAGCGTGTTAAATATTTTATAAAGTCTTAATTAAATAGCAGCTTCTATCACCCCCGTGGGGATTTTCATTAGGTATTTGTCGTAAAACATGGGAATAACGCAAGCCGGCCTACAATATTGCATTCTTTTCCGCCTCTTTCCTCATTTCAAATCCTCCCTCGGTCGAATAAAACATGCACTTGAAACTATCCTCTTTTTTGGCATATCAATATTTCAGCAGTAATAAAAAAAAAAAACTCTAACGGGAAGACAAAGAAAGCTGGGCAATATCTCAAGAGCTGGAGGATAAAAAAATATTTCTCCCTGTCTGTTCACAGGGAGAGTTTGCTCAAAGAACGGAAACACGACGCGCTCCTGGAGCCTTTTGTGTGCATTAGCGCATATGGAGATCATATGATCAACATCACATCTGTTCCCCCAATTATGAGCATAAAAATAATAAGACAGAACTGCTGAGTGTCCTGGATTTCCTCTGACTCTGCTGCTTTCCCTAATGAAACGAGAAAGCACAGTAAACATGCCACAGCAGGGGTGAATGCATCTTTTACCTGACAAATGATGTTATTGGCGGATGGCAGACGTGAAGCGGTTCTTCATCTGCGCTCAGACTGACTGTCTCCTTGCTCTCACAACACACCGCGGTAAACTGCGACCGGGGTCTCGTCTGAGCAGGAGATGTCAAACCACAGGTCATGTGGAGGTCTCATCCTCTCTTTCGGCCTATAATATTTAGTCTTTGATCAACTCTTTTCACCGGTGGCCATTCACAATATTGATTATACTGCCTTCATTACTTAGTCTTCAACTAAATAGCATCACTTTGCAGCCCTCGAGCCTGAGCAAGACTGCAAGTAGGATGAAAATCATAAGATACCTTGCAATACAATGCAATACAATGACTACGTTTACAAGCAGCCAATAACCCGTTCAAAACCGGAATATTAGCAATAACCCGGTCGCGCATGGCCATGTAAACACCGGCAAAAACCCGAATATGCTCATATTCCGGTTTTTAAAAAC